ATATTTTACAAGACGATAATAATAATTTTCAATAAATAATACACGTATTATATGATAATTCATAAAATAATCTCTTAGAAAAAATGAAGTAAAAAAAAATCTCAATAAAATAAAATAAAAAAGGAGGGTTAATTCAACCTCTTGAATTTACCATTACAATAAAAATTTCCTAAAAATCTAATATGAATGAAAAATTAATTATAATTCAGTAGACATAGTAATTGTGATGTCAAAAAATATGTATAGTGTATAGTAAATCAAGGAGCTGAGCTCGAGTGTAGACTGTACAACTCGAACTAAAACTCCCCCGCCGTATTAGCGATGTATTATATTCACGATTCACGCTTTAAACATTATTCTTTCTTGTTTTCTGCATGTATACAAGCGTTGTTTGAGGAGAGCTACGAATTCATCGGGCTCTGGACGTGAAACGTGAACAAGCGTAGTTATTATTTGCATTGACGGAGAACAATCTCACCGACAAAAACCGGGCCACAGACTCCCAACTCGAGTTGGATCCGGACATTGAGATTCGAGAACAAACGAGCTTTTTTACTTTTTTTTTTTTTTTTTTTCATTCCTTTTTCTCCCGAGCAACTCAACTGAATCTCCTTCTGCTCAGCACAGGAGCCGAAGAGAAAACGAACGTGAGTTATAGTCGAGGAACGAGGAAGTAATGGCTACACCAAAAACGTGAGGATATGCACGCGTCGCGGCCAAGACATTGATACACGGCGTGTGCCGTCAAACGCTTCCGTTTTAAATTCACAACTTGACTTTAATTTCACTGACAGATACAACTACCACAAATATTTCACTAAATTTATTATTTTTCTCAATTAAGAAAAATACTAAATATTTCCAAAAAATAATCATAACTTGTGATTTAAATTAATCAAAAAGTTCTGAAATAACAATTTATATTGATATTTGATTTAAATTTGAATTTTTGAAAATTAGTTCTTATTTGACCCAACAGGTGGCGCATGAAAAATAAACTTTCTCGCTTCCAGAAAGTTAAATCCGAAGTTTTATACTTATTTGAAACAAAATCGAGTTGTTATTGATAAAATTATAATTTTTTAACAATTTATCATAAATATAACGTGAAAAATTTGATAGTACAATAAATAAAGTAAAAATATGAATGCATTATAAAAAAAATTAAGAAGTGAATGTGGAGTTGATTGTTAATAACAAATACGGAAATTTCCAACGATTTTAATTAAATACAGTAATGACTGAAAGTATAATCTGAAAAATGACGTAACACTCTTAAGAAGCAAGCCAAAATATCTTCTACCTCGGGCAGGTGCATTGATCCATGGAAATATAAGAATAAAAATTGGAGCTCTCAGTTGTGAGTGTCCTTGTTCAGGTCATTAATACTTGTAACGCACATCCGTACTCGTTAAGTCCCATACAGCATATAGCATACAGCATACAGTATCCGCGTGTACTTAAATCTCAGTAGATTTTAATTGATCCAGTTTAATTACGGCCATATTTTATAACTGAATCAGCAGGGCCTGGTTAATTGGAAATTTTAGGAAGTAATACTTATATATGTGAGAAATCGATATTATTTATATTCAGGGAAGATTTAAAAATAATAATAATATAATTTAAAATGTACGTAGCTCTCTAGAGTACAGGTGACGAGTCTGGTGGTCCTCGACAAGTAAAACCGAAAGGTATGATGCACACGTGTACGCCTTGTCAAGTTGTGGAGTAGTCGAATTTTGTATACATACACGCACATACCTACTTTTATTTTCATTTTGTGATTACATATGTGTGTAGGTGTGTGTATGTGTGTATTAAATGCAATGGAAAGGACCTGGAGTGGTGGAGGGCGCGTGGCACTCGGTCATAGCAGCTGCAGCTGCCGTTTCACAGCGTGTATAATACGTGAGTTAAATGTTCAAGTGTGTAGAAATGACATTAATGTAGAGAACTGTGTAATGTATACATATATATGTATATGTATATATCATACTATATTACACACACTTATACTTTGGTACTGATAGATGGTGTTGTGGCGCGCGCCAAGTCTCATTAACAACTAAAGTCGTTTTCCCGCCATTTTAATAATATAACTAGTCATTTTAGACATTGTAGTTGTTTTGTTCAGCTGAAAAAAAAAAATTAGAATACTTAGAGGTTGTATATTGTAGATTCGATTTTAATTTAATTGGGTGTAGGTATCTGTGCTCTAAAGTAAGTAATGCAGTACATGTGCGCGGTTATTGTTTGTTATTGTTCGAGGGAATGAGCCTTTAAATAATTTACCGAGAAAATTTGCCATTGTTTGGTAAAACAATTCGTAAGACTGCTCAAGGACATAAGGGGTTTTGTGAGCACTTAGTACTCGCTTATTTGAATATTTTTTGGTTATTGATATTTAGAAGAAATAAAAATTTTTTTTTTTATTATTGTTACGTTGTAGAAAATTACATTGAAACAAGTTTTATATGTAAAATTATTAACAAAGACTTAAAGATTTAATGTTGTAAATTTCAATTATAATTTTCAAAAAATTTAAATCAAATTTTCATAAATTTTTTTTGAAGTTTTGTTGATAAATCCTGACGTAAAAAGTTGAAAATAATTAATCGTTAACATCCCTATGTGTTATTAAATAAAATTAATTACTTTAATGTTAGTAAAATGAACTAAAAATGGAAATTTTTGGGATTTTTTAACAAATAAATTATTATAGAGAAAATTTTTTTAAAAATTCTACTTGCAGAAATTAAAAACAAAATTTTATTTGTTGTATAAAAGTAAAGAAAAAAGTTTTATTAATTTTTTAATTTCTAAATTCGCATTTTGTAACAAATTTCTATAGAGGAGCTAATAATTTATATTTTTTTTAATACAAGTTTTTCATTTAAATTTAAATAAATTTTTTTTTATTTTAAATTTTTTAAGTTTAAAAACCAAAAATTGCCTTTATTTTATCTTTGTGAATTTTTGAATTATTTATAAACATTTTAATTGAAAAAACTACATTTTTCTATATTGAATTTATGAAAAAATTGATCCAAAAAAATTATGAAACATTACTCATTACTGATATGCTTAAATTTAATAAAATCTAAATGATTGTCCGAGAAAAAAAACTCCGAAATTTAAAAATTAATGAGGGTGTACACTGAATTTGCATTTTGTAATTTTTAAACAAATATCAATTTTGTTTTTTTCTATCCAATAAGAGTCACTCTGCAAATCTTTACAGTGTAAAGATGAAAACAACCTTTACAATTTCAAGTACATTTTTTCCTCGTATGTATTCAAAAAACAGAACCCAGAATTTCTTATAGAGAAATATGTCTACACACATGTATTTAAAAAAAAAAACTGCAATTTCATCTAAAAATGAACTTGCATAATTTCTCGGCACGTGTCCGTATCTTTATTTATTTTGAGTAAAAGCTTCAGTGTAAGTTAAGTACAACAAAATTCCGAAATTCGATGATGACGATGACCATCATTGTCCATACAAATATCAATAAATCTCCGTAAACATTGTTATTATATCATTGAAATTTGATAAAAAGCGGATGTGTAGACAAAAACTATTGTCAAAAAGGAAAAAATAGAGATTCATAAAAATCAAGTTTAAGATATTAACTTTATTATTTGGTATCGGTATCTGTATCCTTGTGTGATTGTGTGATGTGTACACGGCAGCTGCAATCAAAATTGGTAGCTTTAGAGACCCGCATATCTCGTTCAAATGTCCTCGTGCATGATGTATCGAAGTACCGAAGTTTGACAAAAATGCATTCGTTAAATTGCTCCGTTTTATATAAAAATAAAAATTAAAATCCATACTAACAATAATAATAATAAAAATAAAAATAAGCTCGAGATAAAAAAATCAAAATCCTCGTTATTTATTTTTTGTATGTAATTATTTAAAATTTTTAAAAACTCAAGTGCGATGTAAGATTCCTTTCACCTGCTGCCGCCTGGCGCTCTCTCCTTTGAGTATTTATTTTTTTTTTTATTTTTTGTTTAATTTATAAGATTGTTTTATAAAAAACAGAATTTTTGAAAATATTTTTTGTTGAGTAAAAATAAATTTTTAAGGAGTAAAATAACTTTTATTGTAAATAAGTCGAACTTCTTTTGATCGGAAAGAGGGCGGAGAGACAGAAGAGAATAATGGAACCGAAAATAAGAAGTAAAGATCGAGAGAATGATTACGATTGAAGAGGCCTTTACTTTTAGTTTTTAGTGCTCTCGTTTTATTTTTTACCAGACTTACTCGTTAATTACCAGCAATCATAATTATTGGCTCCCGGTGAGTTAATAAGTCAGGTGATTATGGAATTACCGGGAGTGAGACATTGTTTGACGGGATTACTTCAAGCCAGAACCAAAAGAAGAACGAATTTTGAATAAGCGGCCCAATCAAAGACGCTTCGAAATATTTAGTCCTTCGTCATCGCGCTTTGTTATCAAACATCATTTTTTATTTTAGTCTTCGCTTTTTAACTATGTTTTGTGTTTTTGCTTTGTCTAGATTATTGGGAATTAAATACACTTTTTGATTCTTATCAATGCAATCAATCAATGAAATTCTCATTAGTTTTCAGTTTGATTTGAAATAAAATCAACACTGAAAAAAAAAAAAAATAGTTGATTCATCAAGAGTTTTGATTTGAGAAAAAAATTATTTTTAAAAAAATTTTAAGTAGTTTTTTGGCGTAGAAAAATTCGAAAATTAATATTTTTCTTAAATCAAGTACACGGAAAAAATTTTATAGTAGAGTTTATTATCTAGTTATGTTAAAATCTATTAACTGAATTTGATAGTAGTAAATATTATTTAAATAATTAAGTAAACCATCTGAATTGTGGTATTTACCATCCTGATGGTAACTACTACTATTATGATGCTAATCGTAATAGTAGTAAAAAAATCGGCAGCGTGATCTCTAGCAAGACTCCCAGAAAAACCCTCAGCGTGATTACCAGCGAGACCTCTAAAAAAAAAGGTCAGCGTGATCTCCAGCGATACCATCACCGTTATCGCTAGCAAAATTACCAGTGAGACCGGCAGCAATACCATTAGCACAACTTCTAGCGAAACGACCTCCAGCGAGACCGTCAGCGTGATCTCCAGCGAGACCGCACTGTAAAAAAAACCGGGGTAAGTCCAAAGCGGTGTAGGTGTTAAAATTTGCGGTGTTAAAATAACACCGCTGCCGGTGTAAATATTTTTTTCCGATGTTAAAGCGGTGTTAAAAATTTTCCGGTATTAAATTATTTTTTGATGTTGAAGATATTTTACTTTGTAAATATTATTATTCACTAAATTATAATTTAGAAATTGTTCTTCGTTGGTTCTCAAGATAAAAAATCTGAGGATGAAGATCGTTTGAGAAAAAAAGGCGGGGCACTTGTTAGTCAGTGACGCTCAGCTTTCTTATTTCTACGACGCCATGACGCCAGCGTTTACAGCTTGCCAGTGCGCAAATCCGGGTTTCTGTATTGTGTTTTCAAACCTGTAACTGAATAGAGAGAAAGCAGGTACTCATTTGAGTCTGCCTTACCTGCTAACTGCTGATCCGAATTATGTACTGTAGATGGAAGAAGAATACATACCTGCTATACTGATCCAGGGTCTCTTTGTTCGAGTTTCAATCTACTATGGGTAATTTTATTTATTTTTGTAGTCATCAATATATGACAGGGTTCTTATTCTTGGAATTCAGTAGTTATTTTGAGAGTATTTTCAGAAGGAACAGGATGTTTAAGTATTCATGGAAAATTTACAGAATGTTTATATTATATGAACAAAAAATTACGAGTAAACAATAAGGGTGATATGATGGTATTTTTTTTAAATAATATGTCATGCGTAATAATGATGATGATTTGAAATATGATCAGAAGTTTAAGATTTAAAAAAAAATTAGAATTTCAAAAAATTATATTATGATTAAATTTAAGACAACTAAATTAATTTATTAAATTTAAGTAAATCATGTATTTAAAACATGGACAAATCAATTTTTTGATATATTTTATTATTTTTTTTTCAATAATTTTGAATTTGAAAATTTATTAAAAATTAAATTTTGTTAAGCAACTTCTATAAACCGAAAACTAAATTTAACATTATTTTTTCATGAAAAAAAAGAGAATAATTACATTATACAATGTAACTTGGCGCTTCATATAAAAAAATGTAAAAATTACAATTTCAGATTGTAATTTTTACGGGTTTTGTGAGAATTACATTGTAAAATGTAAATATTACATATTTATAGATGTAAAAATTAACATTTAAAGTTTGAATATTAGAAATGTTATTGCGAACTGTATACAGTAAAACATTTTGCGTCATTGCGTCAAAAAACTTAGTGTTAAAAATTTTTGTGTTAAATATTTAACATTTTTTTGTGTTGATTTAACACTTTTTCATGTTAATTTAACACAATAAATGTTAAATCAACACAAAAAAGTGTTAAATATTTAACACAAAAATTTTTAACACTAAGTTTTTTGACGCAATGACGCAAAATTTTTTACTGTGTAGATTTTATAATCTTGATATTTTAAATAGACTGTTTACTCTGCTTTTACACCGTGGTATTACTTCGTTTTTACACCGATTTAACACCGGTGTTTTCACACCGGAAAACTACGCCGGTGTTATTTTATTTTAACACCGCGCGGTGTTAAAATAAGTCCATTTTTAACACCGCTCTTTTTACAGTGCGGCAACAATACCATTAGCACAACTTCCAGCAAAACGACCTCCAGTGAGACCATCAGCAAAACCGTCAGCGAAACCTCTAGAAAGACCGTCAGCGTGATCTCCAGCGAGACCGTCAGCAAGAGTTCTAGCATGACCTCCAGCGAGACCTTTAAATAGACCATCAGTGCGATGTCCAGCAAAATTACCAGTGAGACCGGGAGCAATTCCTTTACGCGATCTCCAGCGAAATCGCCAGCTTGTCACTGTTCACTTTAAATTAATTTCATCAAACATTTTGGTCACAACACTGTGCTTGAAATTCTCTTCTTTATTTATTTGAGCAGTACGGACTTGTATTTGTTTACAAGCACTTTAACATCTACAAACTAACCTGTTTTTTTTTTGACATATTTTTTATATTTTCATGTTGGATTAGCAATCTAATTTTTATTTTTCCTTCAAACTGCTGTCTTCACTTGATTGCGAAAAACAAAAAACAATTAATTTATTACGACCAATCAGAACGCTTGGCTACGCCTATCTGCTGTCTCTCTCTTTTAAAAAAACTAAATTCTCGGCTCTACTAATCAGTAATAATAACTGTTATTATTTTAATTAGTTACTACTATTATCAAAATCGTAATTTCTAATATAACCTTATGGTTATAGTTACCATCAGTAATAATAATAACTACTATCTAAGCTAGTAAAAAATATTAAAAAATTTAAGAATCTGCGTTACCGTGGATGCATTTCTGAATAAACTAAAAGCAGCGGTAGTGCACAAAAAATCGGGATTAAATTCGGGTTGAAATTATATTTAAATTTTTATTTGTTTAAAACAAGTTTTAACGTCAAATTTTTGAAAAAAAATTTGAAATTTCCAAAAAAATCAAAATTTTCAATAAAATTCAAATTAAAAAAAAATTAAAAAAAATTAAAATTTCAAAAAAAAAAATTTTTAATTAAAAAAAAAATCAAATTTTCAAAAAAAAATTTTGAAGGGAATTTAAAGTATTTTAATATTTCAAAGAAAAAAATGTACATTAGCTAAAATATGGATGTAAATAAAGGATTTAATTAAATAAATTTATATTACTTTTTCTTTCAGAATTTTTACAATCTGAGATGGTTACAGTTACAATCTTCGATTGTAACAGTTATAATTTATAATAATTACAATTATTATTTTCAATAGTAATCGTTACCATTATTAATAGTAACTACTACAATTGTCAATGATACCACCTATTATTTTGTTACTAATTAATTTTATTACCATTTTAAATAGTAGAAGTTACTATTTTTGTATAGTA